CAGGAATCATCCTGGTTTTTAAAAAAGTTTACTAGCGAGCGAAGCGACCGAGGAAAGAAGAAATGTTACTGTGATAAAAGAATTTAATTTCTATGTAAAAAAAAACACACCAGACAAGATTATTTTCGGGCCCCTTGCTACCCGCTTCTAAAAAGATACTTTATTGCATTTAAATTGTTATTTCCTTATCAAAATATATACCCAAAGCGGTATAGGTATGTTGCGTTTGAGATACTTAGTTTTCATGAAGTTGACGTTATTTAAGAACAGTGACTGTACTTTTATTTCTAGTACAATTATTAACTGAAGTTCTTTCGCGGCATTCCGGTGGTTAAAAACAAAACAAAATGAGTTAAACAATAACAATGGCCTGTATAAACATTTACCCTATAAGTTCCAACTGAAATCATTTCAAAATGTGCCGAAAAAGTATTTATTTACTTATTCATTCATTCACATTCCACAGATTATACAAATTTATGACAAATATTTACATTGAATTGAGAAAAAAATACAGAGAATGATGAGGAGATTGAGAACTAGAACAACAAAATGATGGGAAAGTATGGAGGCGTCTATGCTGAGAAGCTTATAGCGTGTAAAATGTAGCCCCCCCCCCCCTCACTTAACAAATCTTGTCGTAGACATTACATGATTTAGAAAAATAAATTTACCAAAATATTAGAACATAAAAGAACAAACATAATTATATATATGGACACCATATACAAATTCAATATACATTTACCGCACGAGAGAAAAAAGCCAAATTATTATGTAGAGTCAAATATAATTATTGACATGTTTATGTATATAAACTCAGTTAGAAAAGGCTTTGGACAATTTTACTTCGAATTGTTATCGTGATATTAGAAAATCAGTAACCGATACCCTGAGTTATTTAGAGCTTCGGTCCAATAATCCGGGAATTATATTTGTGTGGCTTATTGTTTCATTGTATCAACCGATGATCAATTTGAAACCACATTAAAGGCGAATTCCACACTGATATTAAGTTTGTTAATAGAAGCAGAAAATGAAAGTAACAGGTCGGTGAATGTTTGAGCAAATCCGGCGATCAAAAATTAGAAAGTTTAGAATATTTAAAGTTGTCATCAGTGAAATACAAATTGTGACGTAGCTATGGAATGCTGGAAAAATATAAAATATGCCAAATTCAATTTTTTAAAGATTTTCAGCCCAAAATAATGAAAAATTATGAACTAACAAACCCTTTGCAATTTTTGTCAAAATTTCATGAAATTTGCCTCGATCAATTTTTGTTTGTGTGTGTGAACCTGGGACACTTCTTTAGGGGAAATATAAATTTCTTAATTTTTGTTGTTTTCCAATCAGTTTTCATGAAATTTTCCCCGATCCTTTTTATTAATTTTATGAACTTGGGACACATTAGCTATGGAATGATGAAGAAATACGAGTGTAGGTCTAATCTAAAATTATCGATTTTGCGGCCCAAAATAATGAAAAATGATGAAGTAACTGCCACGTTGAAGTTTTTGTCTAAAATTGACGTTTTCACGAGTTTTATGAAATTTGCCCTGATACAATTTTCCGACAAAGTACGGTGATATTAACTCTAGATTGATTGAAAAATATATATTATTATACATGATAACGAAGAAAATCTTTGGTATGGGCGGAAAATGATATAAAAATGATGAACGTTTTTGACGGATACTAATACTAAGGGGTAATCACCCTTGCGGTTATTTTGGTCAAAATATTGGCGTCTTTCCAAGTTTCTTTACATTTTCTTTTTTTTTGCTGTAAAGAACGAGGATTTATTTCTAAAAAAAGGAAATACGCCCGATCTAAAAATGTTTCGAATTTCGGCCTTATGTTAGAGATTTAGAAGAAAAAAAGCACACACTCATTCATTTTCATGTATTACATATCGCATTCATTCCACAGAGGGGAGAGAATGATGTAGAAAGAGGGAGGATGGGGTACGGGTATGGGAGAGTATAAGAAAGAGGGAGAGAGAGAGAGAGGGAGGGAGGGAGAGAGAGAGAGAGAGAGAGAGAGAGAGAGAGAGAGAGAGAGAGAGAGAGAGAGAGAGAGAGAGAGAGAGAGAGAGAGAAACGGTAGATAGAGAAAGAGAGTTAGAGAAAGAGAGAGAGATATGAAAACATGAACAATGACAGATGAAGGAGACAGAAAAGAGGTATAAAAAAGTAAAGATCACTGGTAATGTTAAGACAAAGGAGAGGGAAAGAAGAGGAGAAAAAAGTGAGGAAGAGAGGGGTGGAGAGAGAAAGGAAGAGAGGGGGAGAGAGAGAGGGAAAGAAAAGGAAGGAAAGAAGAAGAAGAAGAGAGAGAGAGAGAGAGAGGGGGGGGGGGGAAGAGTTGAGACTAAATCCTCTCTTTAGCATGCTTCCTGTTCATTCCTGGATTCGATTATCTTTAAACATAAGAGTTCACAACTGAATTATTTACACCCCTTGTAAATTTGATGATTTAGTGTTTTTTTGTAACTCAAGAATAAAAGGTGGACTGGTTGAATAAGGGCCTTTTTTTCTCGATACATGTACATTTAGATGTAAGCTTTAATAGACCACATTCTTATGAAACGTAATTCAGGACAAATCAATTGTTCACATACTTGAAAAATGACAAAACTTGGTATGGGTATTAATAATTTTGTTCTTAACTGTAACTACAAAACACACAAGAAATCCATATATCATAACTTCATGAGACACAAAAAGTTGATTGGTTGAATATTTTTATTCCTTTACACAGATTAAACATAAAATCATGCATAATTATCTCATAAAATTTCATGGCACACACTAATGTTCCTTTTTAAAATAAAAGGATTTCTTTTGATACACTTTAATTTTGCCTTTAATGCAAATACCTTCAATATTATTTATAATACACATTTGTTCATACTTTATAGTTAACATTTCTTCAAAATAAAACACGGGCACAGCTAGTAAGGAAAGAGAGGATATACAAACTTAATTTGATCCTGGAATCCAGATCAGGATTTATCAGATTCTATATTCAGACTGTTTAATGACATATACTTAAACAAAATCTCTCTCTATTTTTGTGCTAATATGTCAACTGGTGCAGATTTATAACAAATACTAAGATAAGAAAAAGTTTGAATAAAGAGATTGGCTTGTGAAAAAGCCCTTTATGCACTGTTACTAACATAACAGTCTAGCATACATTATATGTTGCAGAATTCTAGCTGCTACTTTACAAATTGTACACACATCACCAAATCTGATGGCTATGATAGACTTTAATATGACACTATTTAATGCATTTTACCTCTAGATAACTTGGCAGTGGTTACATTTTATAGACTTTAAGCATGATTTATAACATAGTGAGTTCTAACCATTTGCTCTATCTAACCAAAAAGTCATTTGGCTAAATAAAGTATATTAACTAACAAAGCTAACATACTTGACTAACTTGAAAGAAGAACGATAATATGATAAAGAATCTACCAAAAGTAATAAACCCTAAAATGGCATTTCACCATTTGATTTACTAAGCCAAACAGAATCACTGGTACTTCAAAGATAGCACTAAGAACATCATAGCATACCTATGATGTCTTTTACTGTTTTTGTCAGCTTGAGTTCAGCGAATGATTTATACTCGAACTTTTACGTAAGAATTCCCGGAAAGCTTTGAACTGCGTGGGCCAAAAAAAATGCCCCAATCACTAGCAACAAAACACAAACCAAACAAGGTTCGCTATCAAAAGGTGTTTCTGATTCTTACAATGGAGTCATATATACAGAGTAAATGGCCCATTGATTTTTAACAATGAATCTTTTCACAGCAAGCACCAAATTATTGAAAATGAAAATGAAAGGTGGCATAAAACGATCAGTCGTATTACAAAGAATGACTGTATAATTGCCTGCAAATGTCAATACAATGAGTACGGTGAGTAAAATAAGTAAATAACATGGTTTCCTTTGAGCTAACATGTTTGTGTATAAAGTACATTTGCATATAATACACCATATACATATTATTCTATATTTGAGCTACACGAAGTAGTCTCCTTAGAAGTTCAATCGAAAGAGTTCACATCTTTCGTGGCTAGAAAAAACAAACAGATCTTTAACACATTTAGAACTCTAATAGAGATATTGTACATCTCTCATTCTCTTTCTCTTTCTCTCTCTCTCTTTCACAACGCTACTCTATCCCTACTTGATAAACTTCACAGTTCTTTGTTATTTGAAAGAATAACAAAGGTAGGGAAAACCTCTCAGGAATAGATTGGACAAAATGCCCATACATAAGTCTCATCAGTTTAAATAAGCAACTGCCTTTACAATTCTTTGATTTATATCTTTTTATACAAAAGAACAGTAATATACTGTACCACTTACTGTACTAGACTTTACAATGTCTTGTTTTGATCTCAAAAGTTTTAAGATAGGACAACTATCGGCACAATTAAAGAAGGCACACACACACACACGTATCGTCGCTGTTTTCACGAAGTGACGGTAGTGAAAAAAATTGCATTCACTTTGCGTTACGATTTTCCTCACTACCGTCACTTCGTGAAAATAGGAACGATATATATATATATATATATCTATATATATACCTCCCAGTATTAGAAATCACATTAGATATTATATATTACAAAGGAAAAGAGAATAGCATTTAGCATTGCCAGTATAGGACAGGGTTAATATGGATGCGATAAAGAACGAGGTACATTGTACCGTATATATCAGATTTGTTTTTGAAAAGTGAACGTACGTGTAGAAGCCAGAACATTTTGCACATTTCGTCATCGATATCCTGAACTGACAAATCTGTATAGTAATATATATGACGGATTCATCGGACCATAGTAACACTAACAATGTATCCTACATGTAACATGGATGATTATAAACAGGATAAATTATTTCATAACTAATGTGATTAAAAAGGATAAACGACGAGGTCACATACTTACTTTGTATAGCATAGCTGGAGACTAAGTACTTAACATGTTTTCGTTTAGACATACAGATACATATGTACATGTGGTTATAATGGTTTATAAAGTACAAAAAGAGTAAATAAAACATTATATAAGCAATTTGGTATTTATGTTGTTTTTCCAACATTACTACATAGCTGGGTGGTGGGATATAATTATATGAGGAAATACAATGCTCTTCCTACCTACGAAAGTGGCATATTTTTCATTGGGGTAATATTGATAAAGGGAGAGCAAAAAGTTATTTACCATCATTACAAATCATTTTAATTCTCACAGAAACAGTTTCACAGAAATTCAACTTTGGGAGTCATGTATCCCGTCGGCGCCTGGTACGGCTTGTGAAATATTGCCCAACACACCTATGACACACATCATAATGATCACAAAAATTATTAAACATTTCTATCAATCTTTCATGATTTTGATCAACTCCTTGCTTAAACAGTTTCACAGAAAAGATACTTTCAGAAGCATGTATAGCTTCGCCGCCTGGTACGGCTTGTGAAATATCGCCCAACACACCTATGACACACATCATAACGACAACAACAATTCTTTAACTTTTCTATCAACCTTTCATGGTTTTGATCAATTCCTGTTATAACAGTTTACTTTCAGTTTCATATATTCCTATGGCGCCTGGTACGGCTCATGAAATCATACAACATACCTATGACACACATCATCATGATACCAAAAAGATCATATACTGGTAACTAATCTTTGAACACCCTAATACCAGTCGACCGGCAATCAAGCCGCCCCAGTTACCATGACTTGCGTTCCTATTTGACCAAGACGTGGACAAAGAACAGGTGATTAGTAGTTGGAAGTGCGCTACTTCCTCTATCCCGTAACCGTATATCCTTTTTGGGAAAAGCGGAAGCAGGTTGTGAGTGGGAAGTGATTCTTCAACGGATGGGAACAAATACGGGCGGGAAGTTGGCAGTCGGAATACAATCATGACCTTTATCCATTGAAGATCTATTGACTGTGTCATCCATTGTACAGGGTTACCGATGCATGGCTGCTCAGAATGGGGGTAGCTTAGTCATATGTTGGAGTAGGCAGTTACCCACCCAATTCTGTAGTATCTTTTATATTCTTTGATTAATCATAAATGCTTGGACGATGATCCAGATTTTTTACTTTCTTTCATTAAAAAGTGTGCAATGTGTACATGACAAGGCAAAATAGAACAATGGTGTCATATTGTGCAGTTAGGCACCCAATTCTGTAGAATCTTTTATATACTTTGAGTAATCATAAATGCTTGCACGATGATCCAGAGTTTTACTTTGTTTCATTAAAGAGTGTGCAAATGTGTACATGACAAGGCAAAATTAGGACAATGGTGTCATATTGTGCAATATGGTTTCACTGAGCCTTGTAAGAAATACATGTAAGGCTGCAAGAATAAGCATTTATCTTAAACAATCAATGTGAATATTCACGATCAATTAATTACATATTGATCATATCCTCCAATCAAAGCCTATGAAAGGATTTCGTCATGTAAATTACATGAATTTATGAGTAATACAAAATTAATATTGATTGATTTCTTTTTACTTTTGGAATGATATTGGCCTGCAATTAAATCATGATAATGCTAGATTTTTGGCTTGAAGATCAATAAAGTGAAACTGAATAATACAAATAAAAGATCACTATTGTCACATAAGAAGACGTGTCTCATCTCTTTCATGTAGCATCATGCCAACATGCATCTGTCTAGAAGATGTCTTACATGTCTAAGATTCTAACTTGGACATGTTTGGCTCAAGCTCAAATATATCTGAGCTGATTAAAATCATAGATTGAAATCATAATTACATTGAAAATCCCAGTGATTCTGATTATCACTTAAGTCTCATCAGTTTGATTTAAATAGCAGTAATAGGGAGGGGGGTGAATCAACAAATATTGTCTACACTACCCTAGTAAGTAGCTCAAGTTTCTAGTTCTGAAGTTGTCCTGACGATGAGCTCCTCATCCTTTCGTGGTAGGTCATTTCATCATGACCTAGATGCTGCCTTGAGGCATCGGGGAGCCGCTCCGCCCCCGCATCGCCCCAGACCTGCCTTGGGGGCATCGGCTCCGCCCCCGCATCGCCCCAGACTTGTCGTAGGGGCTGCTTTGGCTCGGTCGTCCTCCGAGGACTGCCCATGGGATTCATGATCTGACCCTGATGCTGCACCCCTAGGTGCCCCCGCCTCCATGCCTGAGGGCATCAGATCCGCCCCCGCCGGAGATCTGGTGGGGAGCAGGAGGGGGTAAGGGGTAGGATGCAGAGGAGGAGGAGGGGGAGGGCGTGGCGCTGGGGTACATGAAGCGATGCGAGTGAGACTGAGGAGGAATGCTGTCGGTGTTGGGGTGCAGAGGGTACCTCACAGATGACGAGTGGGAGGGCTGCCCTGGTGATGGAATGCTCATGTCTTTGGGAGTGATTGGAGAATAATAACCCTCATCGTCTGTGTACATATTGGCTGGAGTCTGTTAATGAATCAGAGACATAAAAAAACATATAAGTATAAAAATCATAGCAAATATCTCCTAACAACAATATGCAATAACACTGAACCACAAGCCCTACTTAATTATAATTTCTTCTCAGATTTTCCTCTTTTAATTCAAGTACCTTGTTACACAAATATGTAAGGATTCACACTAACATCGGTTAAGGCAATACACATGCAACACTAGAAAATCCAGAATGATTCCCTCCCCCCTCCCCTTGTTTTGACTATATCCTTAATAATAAAATTTGAGCAATGTGTTATGAGAAACGCCCTTCTTAATCTCAGACTGATCATTCAAGAAAGAAAAGAAGAAGAAAAGAATGGGATCTTGATGTAATTGAGCTAAAAGTTAATTATGCATTCAATTCATTTGTTTAATTTCGTATATTATCTGTATAAAATTATATACAGTTGAAATACTGTATCAAACCATATTATGTTCATGAAAATGTATGATGAAAACGAAAAAAGATGCAGAAACCAATTAATCAAATCAAATCAAATCAATCAAATCACAAGTCTTCCATCCTGTATTCCAAGGGCTCTGATCACTCTTCTGGAAGAAGAAAAAAAGGTAACAATTCAAGTGGGTGTGGTGTTACCTGTGTGGTAAGGCCAGATGAGCCTCTGTAAGGCTTGGTCAAGGGGTAGCTGTAATGTCTTTCCTCCTCAAAGGCACCTCCATGGCTGCATCAAAAACAAGACGTGAGATGAACAGATAAGTCTTATTTTCATCATTTAAAGGTTATGAGTTTAATGTGATTGACTGGTTGGGAGGATGCTACTACTTGAGCCTTAGCTATCTCATTGACCTACCAAAATCATAGTTATGTGACTTCATTTTTTCCCTCCCAACACAGTGCAGAAGATTATATTTGTATAGTAACTGCACCGTATAAATTGATCTTATTGTTAAAATATTATAATTAAATGTCAAGTTGAGAAAACTGCTAAAACATGAGCAAGTTGTGAGATTGAAAAATTCAAGCTCTGTTATTTTACTTGAACGCTGTTGAGCGCTAAAATCAGTGGCCTAGGTACAGCATGGGTTATATGGGAGTGCATTGTGCACCAAGCATGGTGGATATTTATTTTATTTATTTATTTATTTATTAGTCTTTTTTAGTAGGGTGGCTCCATCAGTAATTAAATACTGTTTTCCTTGGAGGCCCTACAAATACAAAATTTACAAACATATTGGTGTAAACAATCCAAATCGAGACAAAATGAATTTAGTTACAATATTTTTGAGCACTATTGAAATTGTATGTCATTATAGACTTGATAGTATCACTAGCTTAAAATGTTAACCTGTTGAATGCTAAGCACAAGATACCTTGGGATGTGGTCTATGGAAAATATGTGATGGGTAAAAATCAAACCGGATGTACGGGTTAATGCATTGTTTGAATGAGGATAAAGAAGGGGTGTGGGTAATGCATTGTTTGATTTAGGATTAAGAAAGGGTGTGGTGCTAACCTGGTGGTATCATGGAGTGACATTTGATGGAACTCCTTGCTGAAGTCACCCATGTTGCCTCTGTCCCTCTGGTAGGAGGGGTGAACCTGCTGGAGAGTTGGTCTCTGCTGTTCGACCGTGCCCATCGGTAGAGAGTGGCGCTTAACCGACTGCTGCGCGGCACGGGGCTGGTAGTAATCGTGGGCGGAGAGAGGCTCCGTCATCATGTCTCGCCTAGGCAGAGGATGGTGAGAGTACCCCTGGAGAGGAGCGGTCATCGAAGATCTGTTCGGGAGGGGTTGGTTCCTATGTTGGGGCGGGGCCGTTGCCTGGGCGTGGTGGTACAGGGGAGGGACTCTATGATCAGAGGATACCCAACCTTCAGAAACCCTCTCATCCGCAGGCGCCCAGCCCTCGTTGATAGACTGCAAGTTCTGAGGGTGCATACGGTACTGCTGCACATGCTGCATATGCTGCGGACCAACCAAAGGCACTGTGTTCATGCGGTTGTCCGGCATTGGTTGATTACTCAAGGGTAATGTGACAGCACCTCCATGTTGCTGCGGCTGCTGAGTTGCTACCCCACGAAACATGCCAGAAACCCGCGATGATCCCGACTGGTTAGGTAAGGGTTCCGTGGCGCTTCCTGCCCTCCCGTCCTCTTTTTCCCACGGCATCTCGAGCATCTCCGTCTTGAGCGCCCTTGCCATCAGGTCGGCTTTGAGCTTCTGCTCCTGCCTCTGGCGGTCCTTCTCCACCAGGATCTCGCTGGTGGTCTTGACGTTCCTGCTCCTCTCAGGGTGGCTGTACTTGCACTTGTTGCCATAGGTGCACTTCTTACCATAGGGGCAGAGCTGCATCTGATGGCTGGGCTTGGAAGGCGTCTTACGCAGGAAGTTCTCCAGACTTGGACCATGTCTTCCCAGAGGATCATCAGGTGGCATGAACCTGATAAAAAAAAAAAAAAGAGATAGATTCATGATCGGTCGGTCAACTCATTTAAGAATAGACTTGATAGTCACTGGTCAAAGAATGCAAGCCTTCTGTAATAGCAGTAACCATGGAAGAATCCTGGATCGATGAACAGGCTTAGATCTACAACATCGTGTTTTAAAGTAAAGTAAAGTAAAGTATGATAACTACATTATATCTCAAACAAATTCTTATATCACAAGTCTCAATAACACAATAACAGTCTCAACTATACAGGTCTTAAAATCTCTTCTAATCTCTTACATTGAGAACTGAACATTGTTGTCATTGAATGATCATGAAGAACCATGTAAACATTAAGTGAAAATGAATTCTGCCAAAGACTAGGCCTAAATAAAGGCCTAATACACAAACTGTACATGTATGTATTTTGCTACTGTATAATGCTGTATGTACTGTAGGTAATATGAATTAATCAATTTTGCTTTTCAAACATTTGAGTGAAAAATTCTTTTTTAATACACAGAACTTCAACTCTACATGCAAGGGCATTCCTATTATACATGTACTTGATCAAAATTAGTGATACCATGTATGGACCATTTAGCATCATTGTTATATCACAGTGACCTTTAGATGTCCGTAGGTCAGTCATACTAATACTCATAGCAGGGCTTGTGGCTAGAGATCCGGTTTTGCTTATAATATATACTATAACAGCCTCGCTTCCCTTGCCTATGGCTATAGGGAACTTTAGGGCATGGATTGATCAATAGGGGCTTTCCCTCCAAGCACACTGTACATATGTAGTCTTGCAAGTGCAGACTTTTTTAAAACAAAGTTCGTCGGTAGCCTGGGCTAGTGGAGATGATAGGGCAAGCTGGGGGCAGATGCCAGCACAGCTTGGTCCAGTTCTATATTTAGTGTGCATTAATGCAAGAACCTGGTCTATGATAAATAGTCTTTGATTGAGGCTGCATTATGATTTGCAGTATATTGGGTCTGTGACTAGAGACTACTCGTAACCATAGTAAGACCTTTCATAAGCGGACTTTGAGCCTGGCCAAGAGTGTGTAGACTAGGTGGACAGACCTTACTTCACACTTCTAGTACTACGATTCTTGCTTGTGATTGTGAGAAGCAGGTCAAGTTCGCAAGAGGCGACCAATAAAGAAAACAGAGACAAGCATACAACGCACAACCCATAAGAGCATTATATTCATGACAAGTTATGAGGGTAAGAAAGAGTCAGAGAATGAAAATGACAAAAAGAAAAAGAAAAAGAAATACATAACAAAGTGATAGGAAAGGAGATAGGAAAAGAGATATAAACTGATATACTCCTAAAAAGATAGAAAGAGATAGAATGAGAGAGATAGGACCGCGCCATAGACAGGAAGACAAAGGGAAATAGAGAGAGAGAGAGATGGGGGGGGGGGGGGGGGGGAGAGATGGGGGGGGGGGAGACAAAGACAGAGACAGATAAACTAACAGAACAAATTAGAGGAGAACTTCAAACGTTGTATTGATACTGATTAGAGACAACCCTTGCAAAAGTTGCATACAAAGCGATGAGGAAGTCCAAGGGTTTTGCTGAATGCCCACAAGGTTCAAGTGGCCATTTAATCGATCTTAGAGACACTAATTGCTTCCGACTTTGATTTATAACCTTACACATGAGTTTACAATGTAGTTCAGGCGCCAGCTATCAAATCTATGAAACCGAAAAAGGGAACTCTTGTAAACTATTTGTACATGTACATGTACATGTACTACATGCAGCAGAAAACTATAAATCTTGAGTAAGAAAGGGGATACAGATGTAAAAGAGCGAAAAACATAGAGAGAGAGAGAGAGAGAGAGAGAGAGAGAGAGAGAGAGAGAGAGAGAGAGAGAATGGGCCCCGGGGGGGGGGGGGGGGGGGGGGGGAGGGAGAGAGAGGGAAAGAGTACAAGAGAGAGATAGAGAGTATGAGAGAGAGAGAGAGAAGGGGGAGAGAGAGAGGAGGGGGAGGGGTTAGGGAGAGAAGGTGAGAGACAGAAAGAAAGAGCGAAAGGATAAAGTCTCAGCTGTTTAATCTTAGCTTAAGCAAGAAGATGAAAAATTATATAACCCAATATTTATAGGAAATATCCCACTTCCCGTGAAATAGTTTTGATGCTATCTATCATCATTAGTCATACATTGCTACATGTAGAACCAATGAAAAGAAATGATCAAACATTACTAATCGTCTATTGTATTAAAAATGAATCAATCAATCAAATATTTCAATGGTATTTTCATTTCTCACGGTCCATCTTTAAACATGATGAAGGCTACACAAATGTCTGGATGCGTAATGAATGACTTATCAATTGATATTGTACTGGGATATAGTCAAATATTCAAACAATATCATCACCCAATATTCTTGAAGCACCCCAAGTCACTTCCTCTTTCACTGAAACAAACCTAAAAAGTCAAAGAATGGGCTTTTGGGTTTGCTTGACGACGATTTGTTTGTTTGTTTGCCGTTGCCAACACTTTTAGACGAAGGAACCAAAACGATAATAATAAACACCCAGGTTTCACTTTGAGGGCTTTGTTTGCATAACAATAAGAAACGTTGCATTCTTGAGAGGTATCACGCACGCACGAAAACAGATTTGTCTGTTGGTCCGCACCACGCCTAGGAACAATTCAATATGATGCATGCTTCCTCTATCTAACATACTACTTAAAATAGAACAAAAAACATTTGTCATTATGTGATTTATTCAAATATCAAGAACTAAAAAACAAGGTGAAGTGTAGTTGGGGCACATTCAGGAAAATAAACTGCTGATTTATTCTGGAACACCCCCCCCCCCCCCTTTGCATTTTGACGAACAGAGCCTGAACAAAGACTAGGTACTAGATGCACATGTAGGTATTGAATTCATTTGGAGTAACTAGTCTAAAATGAATGAAAAGTGCCATAAAAACAAAATAAACAACAGGTGATCTTAATCTTGATTTTTGAAGCTGCAACATGAAGATATTTGTGACTTTGTTTTCTTCTAATTTTCTGTCCATACAGAATAAATCATCATCAACAAGTAAATTTAAACAATGCAAGTTGCTGCTGTATCATATACATGTAGGAGAACTTATTGGGATCTATTGCATTGTTGCTAATAAATAATGGGTTCCTGCTTAGTGAAGAACAAAACAAAAAGTCATTTAAATAGTCACTAAAGCGATAATGGTAATAATACCAACTAATGATACAAAAAGCGGATACTGAAAAATGAAAGCAAAAGTGGAGAGAAGAGAAATAACAGGAAGACAGGAGATTGAGAAAGAAAGAGAGAAAGAAAGAGAGATAGAGATAGAGATAGAGAAAGAGAAAGAGAGAGAGAGAGAGAGAGAGAGAGAGAGACAGAGAGAGAAAATATGATAGGAAAAAGGAGAAAAATGTTTCATGATACAGTGAAACCTGTCTATAAAGACTACCCAAGGGAGACAAGAAAAGTGGTCTTTACAGACAGGTGGTCTTTGAAGGCAGGATCCAATGTTTCAATGAGAAACTATTCTCCACGGACACAAAAAATTGCGGTCTTTGTAAAATGTAGATAAGTAAGACAGATGATCTGTGCAGACAGGAGGTCGCTAAACCAGGTTTGACTACAGGTGCTACTTTATATTTAAAAAAGGATCGGTAATTAAGACTTACTTATCGCCGGCAAACGAGTACATCAGTAGCCGCTCCTCCACCACCTTTCGGTGCTCCGGCTTCTCCGCGCAGAGGTCCCGGAACGTGTCGTTGGAGACCACGATCCCGTCCAGCTCGTGGGCCAGGTTGAGGATGTAGCGGTCATCATAGCAGACCATCCGCCGACCTTTGACCCTCCGCGATGGAGTCCAGACGAGAATCTTGGATTTCTCCAGGTCCATTAGGATCTCCTGGTCTGCAGAAATAAAAACATAAAAAATGTTTAAAAAACGTTTAATTTTTTTTTTTAGTAATGACAATGATATTGATAAATAATCTAATTTGTGCACTTACGAATATACATCTCGGCCCTGTCTTATAAAGAGTTGATACCAATCGCAACTTATTTGCGATTGTTCAATTGCAACTATGTACATACATGTAAGAGATAAGGCGACTGCAAACTTGCGATTAATTGCAGGACTAACGATTGATTTTGATCAATCGTAACTCTTTATAAGACGCGGCCCAGAAGACCTTTGATTGAGCTGTAGCAACAACAACACACACAAAATTATGCTAATATCATTCCAATCTATAAAAAATAAAGTTTAACCTTTCATCAAACCTACATGTACACTGTAGACTTTCACAGAATAGTCCTAAAAAAGAGAATGGTTCTCATTTACCGGTATCCTGAAATATCATAGTTTCCTTGATTATCAAGAATTCCTGAGAAATTGCTTCCTTCCATTTTGTGGTTTCAGCGAGTTTTGGATCTCAACGATTACAACAACAAAAATCCCCCAAATCTTGATTTTAGCTAAACAATCAGATGCTTTCAATGTAGTCTGATTCCTCTTTGTTATCATGTACCAAGAAAATCTAAAGGAAATGCACCCTGCGAGACTACCTTCACTTCCTTTGGAATTTAATTTCACCCAAACTTTAGAGGAGTTAATGTTTTAAAAAGTCAAACCGATTAAGAGACAGTAATGGAGATATCTTTCTTTTAACAGAAAATGTTGTATAACATGAGGCTCATATTTTTGTTTATATAAAAATTGGGAAACAAAAGCTGAATATATTTGGTACAAATAGTCACTTCCTCATTGAAAACATTGTGTGAGCTTTAGAACATTCTTTGAAGAGCAGATTTCCTTTATCTTGGATATTATCAGGATATCAAACATGACCTGAAAAACATTCAAGGAAATGCCTGTATTTATGATCTTCATCAGGAATTCAGGATATGTATTAATCATGAAAATTTTCTTTAAAAGCACCTCGTCCTCAACTATTATGAAAGGTAATACATGTTTGGGCAACTGCTGATAATAATCCAAAAGAGAATTGAACATATTTTTCAACTTAACAGTAATAGTTAGTTGCAATGAATGTAGTCTGTAAATGGAAATGCCTGTATTTATGATCTTCATCAAAAATTCAGGATATACACCTGTATATTAATCACAACGATTTTCTTTAAAAAGCACCCCAACTATTATGAAAGATAATACATGTTTGGGCAACTGCTGATAACAATCCAAAAGAGAATTGAACATTATTTCAACTTGACAGTAACAGTAATGAATAAGACTGCATTATATCTTTCATCACTTCTATTGTTAGTTAAAGACGAGAAATGACGTAAGATTTTCCTCGCATGACGTAGGCACAGTTTTCTATTACCGGTACGCAACATCCCTTCCTCTAAGTTTTTGTCTCAAATTGTCTTGTTCATGTGAATGTTACTTCCATTAAATTATGGCCAAAAATATCAAATATCATGAATTATCAAAGTGGGAGATGACTCAGAACGAATGACTCACGCCAAGAGGAAACAGTATGTTTTATCAAGGAAGTGATGGTCTCAACTTTCAATCGGATATCGCAAAGAGTTAAGGGATCTTTGAAGCTACACGTAGGAATAAATGGATGTACCTGTAGATCATGTTTAACGAACGCTGTTGTTAAGTTCCTTGGACAACCAAAATGCATGAAGAGGGCACCTAATCACGGGTACTTCATTATATTTAACACTTCTGTAGCCGTACATTGTAAGTACATGTATTGTAAAATATTCATCCAGTTTTCGGAACATTGTATACAAAATGATAAGGACATAGCTATGACAATTTCCTCTTTCATTTTTATAAAGAAAACATATTTCTAATCATTGCATCCCACTAGAGATATGGGACACCTTTACAACCAAATGATGTTTTTTTTTCCACATAGGCCTATAAAACTTGTTATAAGTTGAAGCTGTACAATTGATGTACTTCAACAACCTTTTATTTGAATTAATAAAATGGAAAAAAAAAGTATTTTAACCAGCCTATATTAAACAGAGAATGTACAAAAGCATACCTGGGTATACAGTATATTGTATGAATAGGCCTTGAATTTGTTACTTCTTTTAAGATACCGGTACCAGTGTTTCAGACAATATAACTACTTCATCACCCATGAGTCCAGTAAAACTGAATCACAGGTAGTGAATTTCCCCTACCCCTCCCCTGAGTAAACATTTTGATAAGTCCATAAACAGATAATGTATGAAAGTACACCTGGGGTTTACATGAATCGACCTTAAATTTGTTACTTCTTTTAAGATACCGGTACCAGTGCTTCAGACGATATAAATACTTCATCGCCCCATGAGTCCGGTAAAATTGAATCACAGGTAGTGAATTTCCCCTCTCCCTCCCCTGAGTAAACATTTTGATAAGTCCATAACAGAGATTGTATAAAAGCATATTACCTGGGGTACATCTATGATTCTACCTTAAATTTGTTACTTCTTTAAAGATACCGCTGCCAGTGTTTCAGACAATATAAATACTTCATCGCCCCATGAGTCCGGTAAAATTGAATCCCAGGTAGTGAATTTCCCCTCCCCCTCCCCCTGAGTAAACCTTTCCAAATTTAAGGGGAAGCACCTCGCTAAAAATAGCCCGACCAGGCGGAGCACAATGCCTATTGTGAACACTCTCCCCGATGGCACACAATACAGCCAGGCCCGGACAATATAATACCCATTGTTTGCAAGAGCAGTACCTAGTCACGAGCTACATGTACGTGCCCCCCGCTCAGGGTGTGTGCGTGTAAAATGCATCACAAACTCTATACAAAGATGAATGCCTGCTTCTGACTCACGAGCTTAATCATCGACAGTTTGTTCAAAATATAAGCAATTTAGGAAGAAATTGGGTCACTTCCAAAGAGATAAATCAGAAATATTGCATGAATGAGTCAGGGATAATTGGTATATATTTCCACATATTTTATAAATATAGATTTTTTTAAACAGTTTATGTCATTTCTCTATGTATGGAAATTTATGTAAATGTACCATAAAGTTTACAAAACAAATAATTGCAATATATTCCTGCCGATAACACTGACAAAATGAAAACAAGTCCCCCCCCCCAAAAAAAAAAATGTAGGCACAAACAAAAAAAGAAGCTCCCAAATATCTTAGATTTATAAATAGATTTTGACATAATTGTGGATATATAAACAAACTTCAAAACTATATCTAAAATGCATTCCCATGCACTTTGCACTTAATGTGCACATTAATGGTCCATGTCAAATTTATCTACAAAATATTATCTAGCTACTTGAAGAAGTACAAACATACCCTTATCTCTCAAGTCATCTATATCCTACTTTGTTCCTCGTCATAATGCATAAATGGAAATAATGATATTTTTCAGGGGGTTAGCTTACCTTTGATGGGGGTTTCCGGTTTGGACTGTTCCTTCCTCCAGCTCGGTACAAAGACGTAGATGATCTTATGACCTCGCAGAAGGAACCACATCACGACTGTATGGATTCCCTTGCAGTCAAAGATGTTAGAGTTTCCATAGCTATTAAAGAGAAAATCAAGTATTGAACCAGTTGGATAAAGATTACAATGTATAATTTAAATTAATTCTCTGCAACAAAATATGTCATGTAATGTACATACAGAGTATGAATCTATATGTACAAGAATTTCCAAGTGAAATGCAATCGATTGGGAATGTTATTCTAGCTAATATACATAAAATATTGGGGGTCTAATCTTGGTATAGTCTAATGCATGAATATGAAACTCAACTGAGATCAGAATCAAATCTACAGGCCTGTCCATGTAGCATCGGATTGTTTCAAAGTTGATGATGAGCAAGCTGTCAAAGATATTTTCAGGATTGTCAGATACTGTAGTGGTTTCCTGAAGAGTTTGAAAATCAATAGTCAGGAATCCCCAGCAAGCTTAGGTTGGCTACTAATTTTTTTCTCTCTCCCAAGGAAAAGGGGGCACAACTTGTTTAGTCCCTAACAAGATCCATTATGATTCACCTCACAACTTTAAACACATCTAATATATTGTGGCTCATCTTATCCTATCCCCTATTAAACATCAGTATTCTGAGCAGTGGTGTGTTCTTAAACTAAAGGAGGAGCAGAGCTAGAACTTACCTCATGGCTACATTGCTTCCATCGATAATGATTGGCCTGTGGGGGTCTGAATCCGTTTCCTCGGGCTCCTCGACTCCATCGCTAAAATCCTTTCGCCCTGATCCCCCATCCCCTTCCTTGGCCTCGCTTCCCCTAACATCTTCAGTGATCTTTGGTGATCCAAGGTTCACCAGCATCCGCAGGACCTCGTCGCTCGAGGCCTGGTCGCCGATCTGTTCCAAGACGTGCTCTACAATCTGTCTGGAGTAGCCGAGCTTGAGCATGAGGGCAATGATGACCTCATGCTTGTTCTGAGAGTTTGATTTCGATGACGAGGTCGACACGGAAGGCGACGGTACAGCTTTGGTCTGCAGTTCCTTGCTTGGGGACTCTCGTGGACTCCCGTTCTCAACTGCAACGGGTCTCGATCTCTCGGCGACTTCATCCACCCTGGTGGAATGACTGCAATCGCTGAAGTCTGTCCTTGAAGAAGTGGCAGTGATTGTCCTGGAGGGTTCTCTCCTTACATGTATTGCACCGTTCTCAGAGTTCCGAGCTTCACCGTTCGTCTTCGCAGATATAAGGGACATGGCCCTCATGATGTTCTCATCGCGGCCCTGTATCCGTAGCTTGTCTTCGGAGACCTGCTCGATCACGGCGCCAGAGGCGTACTCCAGCTGCGGGATGCGTCCGTCCAGCATGGCGAGGGTCTGCCGTGCGTAGCCTTCTTCAATTCTTCTGTCCGAACAAACAGAGAGGATGTATTCCTGCATGGGGCAACAAGAGACAAACAATTCAAATCACCTAGAATGAGCTATTTGTACACAAAAAGAACTCAACTATGGCCTGAAAATAAATCGCTAGGGCCTGAAAATAAATCGCTAGGGCCTGAATTCAGGTTTTTGCCTGAAAACTGGCATTCCTGCAATTACCAAAGAGCTACGCAACAGGCTTCAGATTTTGATACAAAACAAAAAGCGTAGGATCCGAAGTACACTCTAGCGGTTGTTAACCAAATAAAAACATTTATTCTTTAGACTGTAGCTTACATGTGCAGGTTACTGTTTATTCAAGCTAATGTGAGGTGAAGATCTGACTAATGTAAAGAAAGAAACCATTTATAGAACTTGTGCAAACTAGGATTCGGTGGTCAGCCTGGCGAAAACAGAACAGCACTTGCCTTTCAGTCAGATAACAATGGTTATCAGTCCCATACACTCAACTTCAGGTATGTTTAGATCACAACATTCCCCACATTACAAGCAGAGCTAAACAACATTCCAAGTAGATCAGAGTAGGCAAATGATGATAGTCCGAGTGCAATCAAGCATTTTATGGAATTCCAAGTTGACAAATAAACAAAACAATCCCCAGCATCACCAGTGGCAACACAAAGATGCTTATTGAGTCAATAACACAATATTGCAATAAAATACAAGTAGTTTCGATTCTTCGGTTTGTTTACTGTTAACAGCAGAAGGTTTTGTAACCACAGACATATATGTACTGTACATGTATAGTCTCTATACTGTATTCAACTAAAATAGGATTCTCGTGGGTGGACGACGCACCTAGTCTACAGCTCAGAAGAGTTTCATTTTAATTCAGAGTCGGATAATTAATGTATCAATACTTCCTGACCCAAGAGTACATGTATGCACTAAGACCTGTACCAGGGGGACGTTTCACAGAACTTGTCATCGGTGACAAACGGTTTTTGTTATAAGCTACTGAAATCCTTGCTTGTGATTGGTTATCAGCAGATTCGTTACTGAATTTTGTCATTTGTCTTTGAAAAAAGGCTTTGTGAAACAGTACCAGGACACTACCAGGACACAGGGTCCTTATTCTCCTAATCCAGCTAACCCAACCATGGTTTCTAGATCATGTATCTTACACCTCAGGCTCAAAGGAACTTCCTCTTACCGATAACAAAAGCTAAGAGCCCAGTGTTGGGTTTAAATTTTAGTAGAATGCAGGCAATTACATGATGTACCAGTATGTGAAAGTTCATCAGCCTTGCTATATCACTGCTACATTGTTGATAAAAAGACACTACAGTACATGTACATGTATCTACTGTAGCAACTGAATGATACTTGTAAGTGTTTATTGCAGGTGTAGACAAAAATCTACAGTAAATCCACAATCAAAATATAAATATGAGAGATTACCATGAATGGTATCAAAACATTAATGTAAAATCTTCTAATTTCAAAACGAGTCTCTATTTCCAAACTAGCTTTAAACTACATACGTACATGTAGATCATGTGCAGGAACTACAGACTATAAATCACTTTTGGTTTTGAAAACGTTGAACTGTTGTGAATCAAGAGTACGTTCTTCCTCCAGGCATATCCAATTGAACTGTAGTCATAAATTTGTCGAACACGTAAGCGTAACTATGTACATGTAAACACTGGCAGACAGCACGAGTATAAACTTAGAAACGGTACTGGATGAAAAACGGTGGGCAAAGGTCAAAATGTTGACCTACATGTACATATCATGTGAAATACAAAATGTTAAAATCGTTTATGTATTTAACTTTTAATCATTATCACTTATTACCCTGGCTTAGACTGGATTTGTGTTTTGAATATAGTGAGCCCTAATTACAAGTACATCCACAGGTACAGTTTTAAGCATGGAATTAAAAAAAAAAAATATGCAAATTGTCAATAAGCAGCTGCTGTTTTATATAAAATCATACAGGCTTATACTTGGTTACTTGTACACATGTGCTTACAATCACACATATTTGAATACACTCAATACAGTATAAATTAGTATTTTTACATTAAGTGAGCGAGTGAATGAGCGAAAGAGTGATTGAGCATGAGAGAGAGAGGAAGAGAAAGTCAAGATGGCTGGGTAAAATAAAACTGGTACACCACAGGGAGTGACAGAGTTGGAAACTTTCAAAGGAAGTGATTTAAAAAAGGAAAAAACAAGCAAAGCAGGAAGAGAAAAAGAGAAGAAAGGAAAAAAAAAAAAAAAATCGTTTTGGATTAAAGTGACAGAGATCAACAGGATGTGGGTTGGCTACAGTTGTACTCAGAGAGAGAGAGAGAGAGAGAGAGAGAGAGAGAGAGAAAGGGTGAGAGAAAGGGAGAGAGAGAGAGAGAGAAATGGATAAAGAGAAAGAAAGGGAGAGAGAGAGAAATGGATAAAGAGAAAGAAAGAGAGAAAGAGAAAGAAAGAGAGAAAGAGAAAGAAAGAGAGAAGAGAAAGAGAAAGAAAGAGAAAGAGAAAGAAAGAGAGAAAGAGAAAGAGAAAGAAAGAGAGAGAAAGAGAGAGAAAGAGAGATATGAAAATAAGTATTAAAAAAGGAAAGAACACACTGGTACTAAATGTTGAGACAAAAGAGAGAGAAAGAGAGAAAGAAGAAAAGAAGAAATAACAAAGTATAAATTCAAAGAGACAATTACCTCACTGCAATAAAGCTCACAAAAATTCACTCAAAATACCAGAGCCTCATCTGCAGCTAGTAAATAGTACCGGCAATCCAGATCATCCAAAGCGCAGTCACCCAGGAATATTATGTTTACGTTCTCTCTCACTGGCCTACCGAATGAAATACTAGCTCAACTCCATTTGCCCGCTCCTATTTATACCAAATCTACCTATCACAGAACAATGTTTACCCATCGGGAACCTTTGCACCGCCTTTCTCTATCTGGCTTCCTATTGCATATACCGTTTGGCATCATAACAATACAACACCTGGAAGGGGATTTTTGTGGGCATGTTTAGCACAGAACCCTGGACATGTTCCTGTACAGTATCACTGTTTTGCGACTCGAATGCCAATATGTTCTTGCTGCGACATGTAGGCGGGTACATTTGCAGCATTGGAGGGGTATACTTGTCTTAACTTGTACTTAAAGGCAAAGGAAAAGACAGACTTTAAAAAAATCCCATGTACAGAAGCAAATTGCGGAATATCTATGACAACAGCAGCTCTTAGGTTTGGAGTTGTTCGTTTGTTTTTGCATAATTTCCGCCTCAAACATATTTTTCCTGACTCAATCAGCAGAATTGAGAGCCAACTATTCACTGGTAGGTGGATGCTACTCTTTGGCACCACATTACATTAGAACCTGGCTTAGCAGCCACTTCCCTATAAAGGTGACCTGTCTATAGTGGTCTCCTACAATATGTATATTGTCTACCTCTAGGAAGACACAAGTGTTGTAGAACCTGTCTAGAAAGGCCACCTCTTCACAGTGGCCTGTTTCTCCTGGGTGGCCTCACTAGACAGATTTAACTGTACTTGTAAACAAAAAATCTGTAGCTGAATTATTAATGGTCACAATACATGTATGTACAATGAAATCTATTTAATAGCCTATAGGCCTTCTTGTACACTACACACAGTACATGTACACTCGAGACTTCCTTGTGGAAGAATTTAATATCCCCCCCTTTTTTTCTACAGCTTTTTAATAGGAGCAAAGCTTTTTTTGAATTCCAGCATAAAATTGCTCCAAGCTACTGTGTATATGTATTTCTTCCTGTACTACATATACCTTATTAAGTTATTTCTACTAAAGACTAATATAATGCAGGTATGAATCGCATAAGAGCTGGTATCAACAGGTATTTCCGCATTAGAATTTCAAACGTGGTTTCGATCTGTGGTTTTTGTAGGAACTCCCGGATCGGCATAAAATTGCTCCATACTACGGTGTATATATTGCTCTTTTCCTGTACATGTTCTGCCTTATCAAGTTATTTCTAAGACTAACATAACGCAGGTACATGTATGAATTGCAAAAGAGCTGATATCAACAGATATTTCTTCGTTAGAATTTCAAACGTGGTTTCCATCTGTGGTTTTTGTAGGAACTCCCGATCGGAACGGGATTCTCAGTAATCGACGATAATCCACCGCATGGGTTTTCTACAAGTGTGAGAAGATTAATTTGAACACAGGTAATGCAATGGCTGTGAAAATGGGAAATCCCAAGCGAGGTTTCGAAAATAAAAATGAAATGCATCTCTGCCGCCTCAAAAGATAATGAAAGCCATGAAGCCTGTTTACGTCCTCCTGTTTCGTGTAATTGTACAACATCTTGTCTAAAAAATAAATTAATGTCAAAGTCTACAATATATTGTACGAGCTCGGCCCTGTTTACTGTTTCTGTAATGAGCTACTGAAATCGTGGCATCTGATTGGTTGAATTTAGCATCTGCTACTGAAAACAAATTTCATGAAACAGTGCCCTGACCTGTATTGAATCAATGCCAATTTACCAAAGCCAAATTGTTTTTACATAAGGTAATAAGAAATGTGATTTTATACAATGACTGTACAGTGTATGTACTGTATGAGTCTAGCCAAATTCATCACTTGCTACACATTATTAATGATCCTGTTCGTTGAATTTACATAAAGATATGAATAATAACTAAAGTCTCTATGTTTGTGCAGGCATGGAAGATTTCCAAAAGAGACTTCGTAGCGGCCGGTCTTTTAAAAAATAATAGGAAACCAAGACCGAAACACCCATTGAGTTCCACCACTGTGACCACATTCAAATCATAATGACTCATTGCATAATTCCAACCTCAGTCTTTTCTTTATTCTTGCAAATTGCTCCCGAAAGTAAGAATTGTTTCCATCCAAGGGCATGCCTGCCCAGGTCCCGAGGAAATTGATTACTTGTTTATCAAAGGGTTATAGAAACTGGACATAATTTACATGCATAGTCATTGTAATGGACTACTAGGCATGACCAGACTTGTCTGACCAATCCCGG